ACTCGCTAGGTCATTGTGCAACATGAAATCAAATGTTTATTTAGCTGATGGCAAATGCCGTGTGTTAGTGTTTCCCAGACAGTGGTCATTCCAAGTGGCACTGTCTACCAAGGGACAATTGTCTGGCCTTTCTTCCTACTCTTGGTCCGTATCTTATTCGTTCTAGGCTTTTGGGACCACTTTTTAAAGAAAAACAATATGCAAATACTGCTCCCACCTCCATATCGTCTTTGTCCTTGATGTCACTTCCAAGATAGACTGGATGACCTCTGCACTGAAGTGCAAATAACTGAAATGCTCACTGGCATACTTAACAACCAGAAAGCCTCTTTTTAGCTTAAACCAAAACCACAAATTCCCGACTGCTGTGTTTTTGGCCTTAGTGAGTGAGCTCCAATCAAAGCCTGACCTTGAGGTACTTCCTGTCCAAGGTAAAAACAAAAACAAACAAACAAAAAACAAAAAAAGGAAAAAAAAGAAAAAGAAAAAAAGTCAAAAGTAACATAACTGAGCTGTGATCCATGCTTCAGAGTTGGGCATGAAAAGGCTCTATGGAAGGTGGTGGTAGAGCAGGCTGGTGGATTGATTGAACCTAGGAGTTTAAGGCTGCAGTGAGTCATTGCATTCCAGTTTGGGCAACAGAGTGAGACACTGTCTCAAAAGAAACAAACAAATCACAAAGAGGCATTAATCAGAATTTTTTTTTTTTTAGATGTAGTCTCGCTCTGTCACCCAGGCTGGAGTGTAGTGGCTCGATATCAGTTGACTGCAACTTCTGCCTCCTAAGTTCAAGCGTTTCTTCTGCCTCAGCTTCCTGAGTAGCTGGGATTATAGGAATATGCCACCATACCAGGCTAATTTTTTGTGTTTCTAGTAGAGATGGGGTTTCACTGTGTAGCCAGAATGGTCTCAATCTCCTGACCTTGTGATCCACCCGCCTTGTCCTCCCAAAGTGCTAGGATTACAGGCATGAGCCACTGTGAGTGGCCCTTTTTTTTTTTTTTTTTTTTTGAGACAAGGGTCTCTTTCTGTCACCTAGGCTGGAGTGCAGTGGCAGGATCTCGTCTCACTGCAACTTCCACCTCCTGAGTTCAAGTGCTTCCCTTGCCTCAGCCTCTTGAGTAGCTGGGATTACAGCTGCCAACCACCATGCCCAGCTAATTTTTTGTATTTTTAGTAGAGATGGGCATTGGCCTCCTAAAGTGCTGGGATTATAGGCGTGAGCCACTAGGCTTGACCTAGACAAAAGCTTTGATCCATTTCTATCTCTCTGCTGACTAGGAGTGGTTGTGTCTGACTATGAAGATCTGAAGGACAATATGAGGGATTTGGGGTATAAAGGTGTGGTGGCCTCTGGCCATTTCTATTGTTGTGTTGCATAAACCCCTCAGATTTGCATGTCATCTCTGTTGCCCAGAGAGGGACTTCCTTGGTGTGATGTGAAAGGCCCTAACAAATACAAGATTAAAAGATTCTACAAAAATAAACAACATGGTAAAAATGATGTTTTAGAAAGGTTAGTATGACAGCAACCTTGAGAAGGATTTGGAAGCCCAACAATGAGTAGGAAAATCATCCAGGAAAGGCCGGGCTTGGTGGTTCATGCCTGTAATCCCAGCACTTTGGGAGGCCAAGGTGAGCAGATCATCTGAGGTCAGGAGTTTGAGACCAGCCTGACCAACATGAAGAAACCCATTCTCTACTAAAAACACAGAATTAGCTGGCTATAGTGGCACATGCCTGTAATCTCAGCTACTCGGGAGGCTGAGGCAGGAGAATCCCTTGAACCTGGGAGGCAGAGGTTGCAGTGAAGCAAGATTGTGCCATTGCACTACAGCCTGGGCAACAAGAGTGAAACTCTGTCTCAAAAACCAAACAGCAACAACATCCAGGAAAAAGACTGCAGAAGTAACTGGATGTTTCAGTTATCTATTACAGTTTAATAGTTTACCCCAATGAGGCAGGAGGATCACTTGAGCTCAGGAGTTCAAGGCTGCAGTTAGCCAAGATGGCACCACTGCATGCCAGCTTGGGTGACAGAGCAAGACCCTGACTCAAAAAAACCCCTAATACAAAACCAACTTGCCCCAAAACTTAGTGGCTTAAAACATCAGTAAACATTTATCAGGGCCAGGCTCTGTGGCTCATGCCTATAATCCCAGCACTTTGGGAGGCCGAGGCAGGTGGATCACTGGAGGTCAGGAGTTCGAGACCAGCCTGGCCTACATGGCGAAACCCTGTCTCTACTAAAAAGGAAAAAAATACAAAAATTAGCCAGACATGGTGGTACTTACCTGTAATCCCAGCTAGGTGGGAGGCTGAGACAGGAGAATTGCTTGAAGCCAGGAGACAGAGGTTGCAGTGAACCAAGATCGTGCCACTACACTCCAGCCTGGGTGACAGAGCAAGACTCAGTCTCAAAAAAGAAAAAAGAGACAAATAATTCAATTAAAAATGGTCAAAGACTCTAGCCTGGGTGACAGTGTAAGACTGTCTCTTAAAGAGAGAGAGAGAAAGAAAAAGAGAGAAAAAAGGGCAAAAAATCTTTCTTTTTTTTTTTGAGGAGTCTCACTCTGTCGCCCGGGCTGAAGTGCAGTGGTGTGATCTCAGCCAACTGTAATCTCTGCCTCCTGGGTTCAAGCCATTCTCCTGCTTCAGCCTCCTGAATAGATGGGATTTCAGGCGCCTGCCACCATGCCTGGCTAATTTTTTTGTGTTTTAGTGGAGATGGGGTTTCACATGTTGGCCAGGCTGGTCTCGAACTTCTCCTTTTTTTTTCAGACGGAGTTTCGCTCTTGTTACCCAGGCTGGAGTGCAATGGTGCGATCTTGGCTCACTGCAACCTCCGCCTCCTGGGTTCAGGCAATTCTCCTGCCTCAGCCTCCTGAGTAGCTGGGATTACAGGCGCACACCACCAAGCCCAGCTAATTTTTTGTATTTTTAGTAGAGATGGGGTTTCACCATGTTGACCAGGATGGTCTTGATCTCTTGACCTCCTGATCCACCCACCTTGGCCTCTTAAAGTGCTGGGATTACAGGCTTGAGCCACCGCGCCCGGCCTGGTCTCTAACTTCTGACCTTGTGATCCACCCGTCTTTGCCTCCCAAAGTGCTGGGATTATAGGTGTGAGCCCCTGCACCCAGCATTTGTTTGTTTTTTTTTTTTTTAAGAGACTGGGTCTTGGCTGGCCATGGTGGCTCATATCTATAATCCTAGCACTTTTGGAGGCTGAGGCAGGCAGATTGCATGGGTCCAGGAGTTCCAGACAAGTCTGGGCAACATGGTGAAACCCCATCTCTATACATACACACACACACACACACACACACACAAACATGGTGAAACCCCATCTCTACACACATACACACACACACACACACACACACACACTAGCCAAGCATGGTGGCATTCACCTGAGGTCTCAGCTACTTGGGAGGCTGAGTGGGAGGATCACCTGAGCCTGGAAGGCGGAAGTTGCAGTGAGCCAAGATCATATCACTGCACTTCAGTATGGGCAACAGAGAACCTGCCTCAAAAAAGAGTCAAGTTTTGCTTTGTTACCCAGCTGGAGTGTAGTGATACCATCATAGTTCACTGTAATCTGGAACTCCTGGCCTCAAGTGATCCTCCTCTGCTTCCTGAAAGTGCTTAAATTACAGATGTGAGCCACCACACCCAGCCATGGACCTAAATAGACATTTCTTCAAAAAAGATAGGCCAATAAGCATATGAAAAGATGTTCAATGCCATTATCCATCATGGAAATGCAAATCAAAATCACAATGCAATACCACCTCATACTCACTATGATGGCTATTAAAAAAAAAGGATATAACCTGAGCAATATAGTGAGATTCTGTCTCTACAAAAACAATAAAAATTAGCTTGTGTTGTGGTGTGCACTTGTAGCCCCAGCTACTTGGGAGGCTGAGGTGGGAGAATTGCATGAGCCCAGGAGGTTGAGGTTGTAGTGAGCTATTGATCACACCATTGAACTCCAACCTGAGTGAGAGAGTGAAACCTTGTCTCAAAAAAAAAAAAAAATATATATATATATATATATATATGATACACACATACACACACGATATATATATATATATATATATATATGGCTTTCCAAAAGCCACTTTGGAAAACAGTCTGGCAGTTCTTCAAAAGGTTTAAACAGAGTTAACATATAACTTAGAAATTATGCTAGTGGATAAATACCTGTGATGGTTAATTTTATGAGTCAACTTGACTAGGCTGCAGAGTACCCAGATATTTGGTCACACATTATTCTGAGTGTGCCAATGAGGGTGATTTTGGATATTAGCATTTGAATCTGTAGACTGATTAAAGCTACTTGTCCTTCCTAATGTGAATAGACCTCATCCAGTTAGCTGAAGGCCTGAATAGAACAAAAGGCTGACTGACACTTCCCTGCAACTAAGAGGGAACTCCTGTTTGAATACTTGAGCTGGGACATTAGTCTTTCCCTGCTTTCAGACTTGAGCTGAAACACTGCTTCTTTTTGGGTCTCAAACTTGCCAACTCCAGATCTTGGGACTTCTCAACCTTCATAATTGTATGAGCCATTTCCTTATAATAAATCTTTTGATATTTATCTCCTTTTGGTTCTGTTTCTCTGAAGATTTCTGACCAATACAACACCCAAGAGAACTGAAAACATACATCCATACAAAAACCTTGTACACAAATGTTTATAGCAGCATTATTCATAATGATCAAAAAGTAGGAAAAACACAAATGTCTATCAACTGATGAATAGGCAGGCCTGCAAAATGTGGTTTATTCATACAATGGGATATTATTTGCCAATGAAAGGAATGAAGTACTAATGAAATGAAAGAGAAGTTTGAATCCAGCAGGTTAAGTGAATGCTAAAGACATGTACACAGGTGCTTCGCTGTTTAGTTTGGCAGACAGTTGGACCATTGCTGCTGACAGGCGGTTCTCATTCTGGTAGGTGACTGCATTTTAACTTCTGGTTTCAGGTCCGACTGCAGACACAGCCACCGAGTTTGCCTGGACAGCCTCCCATGTACTCTGGGACCTTTGACTGTTTCCGGAAGACTCTTATTAGAGAGGTTGGTATCTGGTGCTGGGCATTCCTCTTACTTGGAGGAACACATTCATGGAGTTGGTTTGTTCCCCGCCAGAAGAGTAGGGTAACTGTGTGGTTCTGCTGGACAGCTAGCTCACAGCTGCCACTCCTTCACCAAGCCACCCTGTGCCCCCATTGTCATCTGCTTTGAAGTCTCAGGTAGTTCTAGTGACAGTTTCATACAGATGACTAAAGCTAATAAAATGATTCCCTCTTTTGGAAGATGGAATTTAGATCACAGAGAACTAGCGAGTAATAATTGAGATGTGAAATGGAAGAAAATGTACATCTGGCTGGGTGTGGTGGCACGTGCCTGTAGATCCAGCTACTTGGGAGGCTGAAGCTGGAGGATCTCTTGAGTCCAGGAGTTCTGGGCTGCAGTGCACTGTGCCAATTGGGTGTCCGCACTAAGTTCGGCATCAATATGGTGACCTCCTGGGAGCAGGGGACCACCAGATTGCCTAAGGAGGGGTGAATTGGCCCAGGTCAGAAACGGAGCAGGTCAAAACTCCCATACTGATCAGTAGTGGGATTACACCTGTTAATAGCCACTGCACTCCAGCCTGGGCAACATAGCAAGACCCCATCTCTCTCTCTCTTTTTTTTTTTTTTAAATAAAGACGGGGTTTCACTATGTTGGTCAGGCTGGTCTTGAACTCCTGACCTTGGGTGATCCACCTGCCTTGGCCTCCAAAGTGCTTGGATTACATGCATGAGCTACCACGCCCAGTCAACCCCATCTCTTTTATAAAATTATTAAAAAAAAAAAAGAAGATGTACATCTGGACTGGGCATGGTGGCTCATGCATCTAATCCCAGCACTTTGGGAGGCTAAGGCAGGTATATCACTTGAGCCCAGGAATTCGAGATCAGCCTGGGCAACATGTAGAGAGTGCCATCTCTACAAAAAATGCAAAAATTAGATGGGTGTGGTGGCGCTACTCGGGAGATTGAGGTGGGAGGATCACTTGAGCCAGGAGTTGGAGGTTGCAGTGAGCTGAGATTTCCCCTCTATACTCCAACCTGAGTGACAAAGTGAGACCCTGCCTCAGAAAAAAAGGCCAGGCACAGTGGCACACACCTGTGTCCCAGCTCTTTGGGAGGCCGAGGTGGGTGGATTGCCTGAGCTCAGGAGTTCAAGACCAGCCTGGCCAACACGATGAAACCCCATTTCTACTAAAAATACAAAAATTAGCTGGGCATGGTGGTGTGCGCCTGTAGTCCCAGCTACTTGGGAGGCTGAGGCATGAGAATTGCTTGAGCCCAGGAGACAGAGGTTGCAGTGAGCCAAGGCTGTGTCATCGCACTCCAGTCTGCATCTGGCTCAGTCAGTCTGATAGGGATCCATGTCAGAAGTGCCTGTGAATGAAGACTAAAGGAAAAGTTAGCCAGTCCTAGAAACAGTGAGAGAAGTCATCAGAGTCTCCAATTTACCTAGACAGACATTAAATTGCTTTGGAGTTATTATTATTTTATATATATGTATAATATATGTACATATTATACATATATATACATAATATACGTATATATGGCAAAAACATGATTTTTTAAAAGTATTAAGTACTAATTATATTTATTATCATTAATAACTTCAGCTGGCCGAGGTGGCTCATGCCTGTAATTCCAGCACTTTGGGTGGCCAAGTGGATCACATAAGGTCAGGAGTTTGATATCAGCCTGGCCAACACGGTGAAACACTGTCTCTACTAAAAATACAAGAAATTAGCCGGGCATGGTGGCACATGCCTGTAATCCCAGGTACTTGGGAGGCTGAGATAAGGAGAATCAGTTGAACTTGGGAGGCAGAGATTGGAGTGAGCCAAGATCATGCCATTGTACTCCAGCCTGGGCAACAAGAGCGAAACTCTCGTCTCAAAAATAAAAATAATAGGCCGGGCGCGGTGGCTCACGCCTATAATCCCAGCACTTTGGGAGGCCAAGGCGGGTGGATCACGAGGTCAAGAGATTGAGATCATCCTGGTCAACAAGGTGAAACCCCGTCTCTACTAAAAATACAAAAATTAGCTGGGCATGGTGGTGTGCGCCTGTAGTCCCAGCTGCTCAGGAGGCTGAGGCAGGAGAATTGCTTGAACCCAGGAGGCAGAGGTTGCGGTGAGCCGAGATCGTGCCATTGCACTCCAGTCTGGGTAACAACAGTGAAACTCTGTCTCAAAAAAAAAAATAATAAAAATAAAAACAATAATAATAATAACAAATAACTTCATTAACACATGCCTTAAAGACCTTGTTGAGATCTTTTCCTTTGGTTCCTAAAGTATAACTTTCATATAAATTTATTATACTCTAAATTTATAGACTTGATTAAAAATACAAAAACTAAGTAGTTGTCATCCAGATAAAAGCGGGAGTTAATGGTAAGTGATAGACTTAGCCTTGGAGAAGTTGTTCCCAGGATTCCTGTAGGACTTCGCTGTAGAAGGAAGATCTTTTTTTAAATTTTTATTTATTTATTTATTTATTTATTTTGAGATGGAGTCTTGCTTGTTGCCCAGGCTGGAGTGCAGTAGTGCAATCTCGGTTCACTGCAATCTCTGCCTCCTGGGTTCAAACGATTCTCCTGCCTCAGCCCCCCAAGTAGCTGGGATTACAGGTGCCTACTGCTCCACCCAGCTAATTTTTGTATTTTTAGTAGAGATGGGGTTTCACTATGTTGGCCAGGGTGGTCTTGAACTCCTGACCTTGTGATCCACCCGCCTCGGCCTCCCAAAGTGCTGGATTACAGGTGTCAGCCACTTCGCCTGGCCTTGCCCTTTCTTTTTAAAGCCTCTCCTCCTTAACATCTCTGGTGCTGGGGTAGAGTCTGATCAGTGTCTGATGGGGGCTCTAGGCTTCAGGTCCACTCAAAATCCTTTACCCTTACTGAAATAGGCGAATTTACCCCTTGGTTATTAGATGTTATTGAGCACCTGCCTGGGGTGGGCCGTGTGCTGGGTCCTAGAGGCCTGCTGAGAATGTCTTGTAGAAACCCAACTCCTTGAAGAATTGAATAGGCTTCCTTAATCCATATTTGTATATGTCCTGATTTTTGCTGTGCCAGATTTGAGCTTTCTGCTTTTTGAAGCTGCTAGGCAGGGGTCTGTACGTTGTGCTACATGGAACTGGGTGAGCCATTCTAATCGAAGGAAGACTAGACAAGTTGTTCAGGAGGAGTGGACCTAGCCTCTCAGGACCTGGTAATCCTTTTAGCTCATATGGAGAGCTGTGGGAATGGCTTTGAACGGACTTTGTCATATGCTGCTTTTGTAGGTCCTCCTCAGATTTCTGTCGTTTTCCCGTTTACTGCTTCTATATTTTATGCTTGGAGTCTACCTGCAGCCTCTAGCAGTTTAGACCTTTGCAGGAATTAGGAGGAATGCTGACAGATCCTGAAAAGAAAGTTTGGATACCCAGGGTCTGCAGTGAGGCAGGTTGTTCAGCCTGGGTCTGTGGAGCGCTCCCAGTGTGCAGCATCACCCTGATTCTCCTGCTACTCTCTATAAGGAGCAACTTTAAAATTTTTTTGTATTTGTTTAAAACAAATGGTTTTGAGATGGAGTCTTGCTGTTTTACCCAGGCTGGTCTTGAACTCCTAGGCTTAAGAGATCTTCCCACCTCAGCCTCCTGAATACCTGGGATTACAGGCCCTGATACAGGCACTTCATTTGTTACTGAGAAGCTAATAACAAAGTAACAAAATGATATTTATCCCTTTCCTTCATTCTCCAGAAGCAACTACTTTCAATTTTTTTCAGTTGTTTATGCTGTTTCCACCTATCTATATAATATACATTTACTGTTATATTTTATACATGTTTATATTTTTTTAGCTACCTGTTTATGGTGGATTATTTTATATTTTACATTCCCTATTTACATTTATATTTATACCTAATTTATATTTACACTCCCTATCCCCTCCTTCTGCCCTGCGCTTTCATGATTTTATCACCCTTTATGGTTTAATCCAATTCACTATTTTCATGATTACAACTTTATGTATACTTTTATCTTAATAAGTATGTGCTATGATGTGCATTCCATTCCTGTGTGACTTTTTGTTTCGCTTGGGATTGGATTAATAATTGTGTTAAATCTTTTGTTTGTTTTTCTTTGAATGACTGTCTCTGTCATTCTATACCCCCAGTGTCCGTAGTATACCTTTCTGTTTGGTTTGCTACACTGGTTAGGGAGTTATTTTCTGTTCTTCCAGTGAGTGTGTGTTGTTTTGTTCCGTTTGTTTGTTTGTTTCTTTGTTTTCTTGAGTAGGAGTCTTGCTCTGTTGCCAGGCTGGAGTGCAGTGGCGCCGTCTCAGCTCACTGGAACCTCCACCTCCTGGATTCAAGCAATTCTTGTGCCTCAGCCTCCAGAGTAGCTGGGATTATAGGCATGTGCCACCAGATCCAGCTAATTTTTGTATTTTTAGTAGAGACAGGGTTTCACGATCTTAGCCAGTATGGTCTTCATCTCCTGATCTTGTGATCTGCCTGCCTTGGCCTCCAAAAGTGCTGGGATTACAGGCATGAGTCACTGCACCTGGCTTTGTTCTATTTTCCTTGGAAACATAACTTTTGAAGTCCTCTACTCCCCTGTGGACTGACTGCTTCCCAGGTCCACTGCGACCAGTGCCATCCTAGAAACCCACTTCATCTCTCTTGGACTGGACCCCTGGTCTTCCAGGTCCTGAATCTTCCTCCTTGTTTACTAACTTGTTTGCTTGGGTATTTATGTATTTGTCTGTCTAATTATTTATTGGTTACTCCATATTCACTTTCTTTCTTTTCCACCCCCCCCAGTAATGGGTATAAGCAATCTTTGTGTTTTCTAGAGTTGGGGTCTCACTGTGTCTCTCAGGCTGGAGTATAGTGGCAAGATCATAGCTCACTGCAGCCTTGAACTCCTTGGCTCAAGTTACCCTACCAACTCAGCCTCCTGACTAGCTAGGACTACAGGCACATGCCACCATGTTTGACTAACTTTTGTTTTTTATTTGTTTTTGTAGAGACAGGGTCTTACCATGCTACCCAGGCTCATCTTCCCTTTCATTACCAGACTGTACTGGTGAAAATTGCTCTGCAGTCCTAACAAAAATCTCATCTTAATACATGGAAAATAGAAAACATTTTCTTAATCACTTGTAATCATACCCCAAAGAAGGTAGATCACATTGTATATCCTGTTTTCTTTCTTTTTTTTTTTTTGCAGCCCCAGCTGTTAAATGTGTATCTTGTTTTGTAGCCTGTATTTTTTTTTCTTCCCTTAGTAATCTCTTCTCATGTTATAATGTGATTTCATAGCCATGTGACTCCATTTATGGAGTTCATAACTTATTTCCTATTTGGCAGCTTTTGTTTTTCCCCCCAAAATTTTGGTACCTTGTAAATGTCTGAGGTTATTCTTTTTATACCTCTGAGTATTTCCCTAGAATATATTCCTTGCAATAGATTTTCCATACAAAAAATTTCCAGGTAAAAGGATATGCTACATATTGGCAGATTGCTGGCCAGATGCTCTGGCTCACACCTGTAATCCTAGCACTTTAAGAGGCCAAGGCAGGTGGATCACTTGAGCCCAGGAGTTCAACACCAGCTTGGGCAACATGGCAAAACCCGTCTTTACAAAAAATACAAAAATTAGCCAGACATGGTGGCACGTGGCCCAACTACTCGGGAGGCTGAGGTGGAAGGATCACCTGAGCCCAGGGGGGTTGAGGCTTCCATGAGTTGTGATCGCACCACTGCACCCCAGCCTGGGTGATGGAGTGAGGTACCATCTGAAAAAACAAAACAAACCCCAAAAATCAAAACCAGATTGTCTTTGAGAATGGAAACTGCCTTCAATTTCTCTAGCAGTGCATAAGAAGACAATTATTTCTGATAAATGTGGGGAATTTTCTTCCTTTTAAAAAAATTTTTTTCTTTTGCCCCCCCACCTTTTTTTTTTGAGATGGAGTCTCGCTTTGTTACCCAGGCTGGAGTGCAGTGGCACAATCTCAGCTCACTGCAACTTCTGCCTCCTGGGTTCAAGCAATGCTCCCTCAGCCTCCTGAGTACATATGTGTGCCACCATGCCCAGCTAATTTTTTGCATTTTTAGTAGCAACGAGGTTTCACCATGTTGGTCAGGCTGGCTGGGATTACAGGCATGAGCCACTGCACTTGGCAGTTTTCTTCTTTTAAAGTGCTCCTTGCTTCAAGAAGAGGTAAAAGAATCCACAGGTTAGAGGACACACTGCTTTCCTCTTTCAATTATTTAAAAGGTGGTGGTGTCTGTAAACAGCTTCTGCTTCTTTGATTCCTTACAGGGCATCATGGGACTATATCGGGGAATGGCTGCTCCTATCATTGGAGTCACCCCCATGTTTGCTGTGTGCTTCTTTGGATTTGGTTTGGGGAAGAGACTACAACAGAAACACCCAGAAGATGTGCTCAGGTGAGTACTTACAAGTTAGGAGCACTTGCTGTTCTGCCTGGTAATGTGACATGGGTTAAAGGAAAGAACCTTGGGTAGGGCACGATGGCTCATGCCTGTAATCCCAGCACTTTGGGAGACTGAGGCAGCTGGTTCACCTGAGGTCAGAAGTTTGAGACCAGCCTGGCCAACATGGCGAAACCCTGTCTCTACTAAAAATACAAACAAATTAGCCAGGCGTGGTGGTGGGCACCTGTAGTCTCAGCTACTTGGGAGGCTGAGACAAGAGAATCATTTGAACCCAGGAGGTGGAGGTTACAGTGAGCTGAGATCGCACCACTGCACTCTAACCTGAGCAACATAGCAAGACTCCATCTCAAAAAAAAAAAAAAAAAAGAACCTTGGTTGTCAGGTAATGGCTGTCCTCCTATGCCCTTAAGCCTAACTCTTGGGAATTTTCCATGAAGGACTACTTGAGTGTTTTGAAATGGGATCTTACTTTGTCACTCAGACTAGAATGCAGTGGTGCAATCATGACTCACTGCAGCCTTGAACTCCTGGGCTTAAGTGATTCTTCTGCCTTGGCCTCCTGAATAGCTGGGGTTACAGGCATACACCACCATTCCGGGCTACTTTTTAAATTTTTTGTAGAGACAGGTGTCTCATTATGTTGCCCAGGCTGGTCTTGAACTCCTGCCCAGGCTGGACTGCAATGGTGGGATCCTGGCTCACGGCAAACTCCGCCTCGCAGGTTCAAGTGATCCTCCTGCCTCAGCCTCCTGAGTAGCTGGGGTTACAGGCATGTGCCACCAAGCCTGGCTAATTTTGTATTTTTAGTAGAGACGGGGTTTCTCTATTCTCTTGGCCTCCCAAAGTTCTAGGATTACAGGAATGAGCCACCATGCCTAACCAGGTTTTCATATTTCTTTTATAAGGTAGTATCAATTACTGGAGAGATTTGTAATACCATCCCCATGAGGCTGTTGAGAGGTCTGAATCCTTAAATGTGTATAACATGTCATAGGCAGTAGGTACTGCCCTAAAGACAAGAGCAGCTTTGCTTTCTATCACTTAATTGAAAGAAGAGAAGGTTCCAACTTTTGTTGTGCTTTATTTTTATAACATGCTAATATGACCATAATGACTTCAGGTATTAATTTTTCTGTTAAAGTGGAATAACAGTGGTGGCTTACACCTGTAATCCCAGCACTTTGGGAGGTCAAGATGGACAGATCATCTGAGGTCAGGAGTTCGAGACTAGCCTGACCAACATGGAGAAACCTTGTCTCTAGTAAAAATACAAAATTAGTCAAAGGTGGTAGCGTATGCCTATTATCCCAGCTACTTGGGAGGCTGAGGCAAGAGAGTCACTTGAACCTGGGAGGTGGAGGTTGCAGTGAGCTGAGCTAGCACGTTGCACTCCAGCCTGGGCAACAAGGGTGAAACTCCATCTCAAAAAAGAAAAAATGGAATAAGTTAATGTGTTTTTCTTTAATAAACTTAAAGTTTGATTTGGGTATGAAGAGGCACCTGAGATAGAATTATAGTTCAGAATTTATAAAGTGGTTAGTGAAACAGAGATTTCTCAGGATGCAGGGTATCCTGAGAATGCAGGGGAATTCTGAGTGGAAATATTGTGTAAAAAGGTATCCACAAGTCTGAGCCGTGCAGGGTGCCAACCCCTGGGAGGGGCTATAGGCAGTATAGGAGCCACAGAGGCTGGCCTGCCCTCAGATCTAGGAGCTCAAGGGAGGAAGCCCAGGGTGCCATGCGGTTGTATTCTGTCACCACTTCAGGCCACAGCAGGCTGAGTGAGGGTCTAGGATGTAGGTGGAGGTGCTTGTAGAGCGAAACTCTATTTTTGGGATCCTTGTGATGCTCTGAATGTCCCTGGATTCTATAAACAGCTGCAAGTAGCCTGAAATGTGGGTGGGGTTGTTTTGAAGCTGCATTTGACCATTGGTAGGCCTTGTGTCCCACGGACACATGTTGTCTCTAAGCATCTGGTCTTTTAGCATGTGTGCCAGATCACAGATGTATCAGGGCCATGCATGACCCCAGTGGGGTCACTTTTGGTACTTTGGGCTATGGGCTGTATTCCTGTACAGTCATATCAGCACTCAGAGAAACACTCTTCCTGACTGAACAAAGTGGAGACACTCAGGACCCCACTGCCACAATCTTGTTAGCTCTGCTGTGTTCACTTCCCTGCAATGGTGTTTGGGGATGGTATGGAAAGGACTGTTACCAGGTTAGGGTAGAAGTCCAGGAGGGCTCAGCTCTGAAAGGTGCCTCACTGGGATGGAGATGGGGGTGGGGAGTGGGAATATGCCAGGCAGCTATTGAGTATCCACATGATGCCCTGTGCACACATAGAGGCCCTGTTCAGAGACAGTCTGCAGTCCTAAGAGATGAGGTGTGCCAAGCCTAGGGTTGGGCATTGTGGGGAAAATGGAGCATATTGGTCTCATAGGGAGAATTTAGTTGCTGAGAGGACTCCTCAGGGACAGTCATGTGAACTGGGCCTGTGAAGACGGCCATGTTGGAAAACAAGTCTCTTGACTGTTTAACAGTCAGCTTGGCTGTGTGCCTGAGGTGGATGCATGAGCCCTGCCTGGGGTGAATACAGGGAAAATAGGGATGTTGAAACTGGCGCCCTGCCTGGAGGGAACTGTTTACAGTGGATGTCCCTCTACCTCCATTTGGCATCTGTTCTTCACTGCATAAGCTCCTTGTTGGGTAGGAGTGGCCTGAAGGCTCAGTTGTTGAAGGCTTGGGGTCAAGAGTGCACTAAAGCTCAGGACAGTATGTGAAGTTTTTCAGTAGCATTTGCTAAGTTGTGGGACTCTGTTGAAATGCTGAATGTAACTTTGTGCCCCATTGTCTCCAGACCATGCTGTTATTGCTAATCCCAGAAAGAAAAGGAGGCAACCGGTCACAGTGGCTCATGCCTGTAATCCCAGAACTTTGGGAGGCCAGGGGAGGAGTATCATTTGAGCCCAGGAGTTCGAGACCAACCTGGGCAACATGGCAAAACCCTGTCCCTACAAAAATGCAAAACGTAGCCAGACATGCCTGTAGTCCTAGCTATTCAGGAGGCTGAGGTGGGAGGGTCACTTGGGTCCAGGAGGGGGAGGTTGCAGTGAGCTGAGATTGTGCCGCCCTGTTTCAAAAAAAAAAAGGCCGAGTGCAGTGACTCTTGCTGTAACTCTAGCACTCTGGGAGGCTGAGGTGGGCAGATTGCTTGGGGTCAGGAGTTTGAGACCAGCCTAGTCAACATGGTGAAACCCCATCTCTCCTAAAAATACAAAAATTAACTGAGTGTGGTGGTGGGTTCCTGTAATTCCAGCTACTCAGGAGACTGAGGCAGGAGAATCATTTGAACCCAGGAGGTGGAGCTTGCAGTGGGCTGAGATCACTTCACTGCATTCCAGCCTGGGGACAGAGCAAGACTGTGTCTCAAAACAAACACAAAGAAACAAAAAAAAGGAAGAAAGAAAAGAAAGGGAGATGCCAAAGGTGGCACAGACAGCTGTAGGTGATAGACGGTAGGAGCCTCAGGCTGCTCTTTATACTCAGGGTTGTTCATTTCTGTGGGGGGTAGAGTGAAGACCCATACCTCTTGCCACTGGGGAACTATTTCCCTGTGCAGGGACCACAGGACCGTCATGCCTGCCTGGGTATTGTCTCTGTCTGGTCCTTTCTTAGCAACTTACAGCACATTACTTGCAGTTACCTTGGCAATCCCTCAGCCTGTAGAGGTGCCCACAGCTATCCTCCTTGGCCTTGATGCTGTCCTGGTTGAGTCTTGGCTTAGAGTATTCCCAAGTATTCCTAAGTATTCCCGTAGGAATCTTGGCTAACAGATTCCCTTGGTGCTCCAGGGAAAGTGAAACTTAATGGCAGAGATTAAAGTCCAGATTTTGAGTTGGAGACCTTCCCCCCTAAAAACCCCAGCACTTTAAATACGGGGAATTGAGGCTCAGACAGGCCTAGAAACTTGTCCATGGTCATTGTGCCTGGTAGGCGCATGGATGGGAGCCAAGTATTACTGTAAAACTTCTCTTACAGGTGAGAGATTCTGAGTGTGCACTGTATGGGGTTGGCCTTGTGACCAGACTCCCATTGCTTTTGGCACTGAGACCCTTGCTCTGGGAAATTTGACATTAAAATATACCTAGAATTGAGTTTTTGTGCAAAATCTGATTCGTTTGTGGCTAGCTTCTGCCCAGCCCAAGAACTTATTTTTTTCTTAAAAGACTGTCCTCTTTGCTGGGATTGGCCTCTGTCCTTGGTGGTTAGTCACAGGTGCTTGCTTCTTGTTTTTGTTTTCAATGCAGCTATCCCCAGCTGTTTGCAGCTGGGATGTTATCTGGTGTATTCACCACAGGAATCATGACCCCTGGAGAACGGATCAAGTGCTTGTTACAGGTAAGGTTGTGATTGGAGGGGACATAGCTAGCTTTTTCCTTTTCATTTATAATTTTGTGTGCATGTTTTATGTTCTTTAACTGTTTATAAAGGCCTCAGGGCTGGGCGCAGTGGCTCATACCTGTAATCCTAGCACTTTGGGAGGCCACGGTGTGAGGATTGCCTGAGGCCATGAGTTAAAGACCAGCCTGGGTGCCGGTGCAGTAGCTCATGCCTGTAATCCCAGCATTTTGGGAACTGAGGCGGCTGGATCACTTGAGGTCAGGAGTTTGAGATCAGCCTGGCCAACATGGTAAAACCCCGTCTCTACTAAAAATACAAAAATTAGCCAGGCATGGTGGTGGGCACCTGTAATCCCAGCTACTTGGGAGGCCGAGGCAGGAGAATTGCTTGAACCCTGGAAGCAGAGGTTACAGTGAGTGGAGCCACGCCACTGCACTCCAGCTTGGGCATAAGAGCAAGACTCTGTCTCAGACAAAACAAAACAAAACAAAACAAAACACCAGCCTGGGCAACATAGTGGGATCCCATCTTTACAAAAAAAATTTTTTTTTTTGAGACAGAGTCTTGATCTGTCGTGTAGGCTGGAGTGCAATGGCATGATCTTGACTCACTGCAACTTCCACCTCCTGGATTCAAGCAATTCTCCTGCCTCAGCCTCCTGAGTAGCTGGAATTACAGGTGTCTGCCACCAAGCCTGGCTAATTTTTATATTTTTAGTAGAGACAGGGTTTTGCCATGTTGATCAGACTGGTCTTGAACTCCTGACCTCAAGTAATCCATCCGCCTCAGCCTCCCAAAGTGCTAGGATTACAGGCGTGAGCCACTGCTCCCAGCACAAAATTTTTTTAAAAAATAGCTGGGCTTGTGTACCTGTGTACCCAGCTACTCCTGTGTGTGTACCTGTTATCCCAGCTACTCTGGAGGCTAAGGTGAGAGGATCACTTGAGCCTGGATTGTTGAGGCTGCACTAAGCCATGATTGTGCCACTGCACTTCAGTCTGTGTGACAAAGTGAGACCCTATCTCAAATAAAAATAAAGTCCTCACATTTGGTGTACAAAACAACTTCAAAGTTTTCAGAAACACAGAAGTAATTGTAGTAGAATAAAGAACAAGGTCATTATAACAATCCAACCAAAGTGTCACACCTGTGATGTGTCAGCCTGGTCCTACTCACCCTTATTAGCAGCCATTTCAGGAACTCTGAAAGGTGAGTCATGTCTCCTTAAAGGTAGAAGGGAGGCTGCTTCTGCCCAAGATGATGTCATGTCTGTCTTTCTTTCCTTTTCCCTCTCTGCCTCCCTCTGTCCCTTCCTTCCCTCTCTCCCTCCTTCTCTCTTTTTTCTCTTTCTTTTTTTCCCTCTTTCCCTCCCTCCCTTCCTTCTTTTTTCCTTCCCTCTCTCCCTCCTTCTCTCTTTTTTCTCTTTCTTTTCTTCCCTCCTTCCCTCCATCCCTCCCTTCCTTTTTTTCTTTTTTTGTTCCTTTGGAGATGGAGTTTCACTCTTGTTGCCCAGGCTGGAGTGCAATGCTACGATCTCGGCTCACTGCCACCACCTAATGGGTTCAAGCGATTCTCCTGCCTCAGCCTCCTGAACAGATGGGATTACAGGCATGGGCCACCATTCCCAGCTAATTTTGTATTTTTAGTAGAGACAGGGTTTCTCCATGTTGGTCAAGCTGGTCTTAAACACCTGACCTCAGGTGATCCACCTGCCTCAGCCTCCCAAAGTGTTGGGATTACAGGTGTGAGACACTACACCTGGTCTCGATCTGTTGCCCAGACTGAAGTGCAGTTGTGTGATTTCGGATCACTGCAATCTCTGCCTCCTGGGTTCAAGAGATTCTCCTGCCTCAGCCACCCGAGTAACTGGAACTGCAGGTGCCTACCACCGTGTCTCGCTAATTTTGTATTTTTAGTGGAGACAGGATTTTGCCATGCTGGTCAGGCTGGTATTGAACTTCTGACCTCAAGTGATCTGCCACCTTGGCCTCCCAAAGTGTTGGGATTACAGGTGTGAGCCACCATTCCTGGCTGTGTGTTTCTATCATTTGTCCAGAATCTCAGAGCCCTTAGAGTGTAATAATTTCTATACTTTTTTTTTAATTTAAAAAATGTTATATGAAACTGGGTGCAATGGCTCATGTATGTAAGAGTTTGTAAACTCTTCGGATTGGCTTTTTTTTTTTTTTGAGATGGAGTCTTGCTCTTGTTGCCCAGGCTGGAGTGCAATGACACAATCTTGGTTCACTCCAACCTCCACCTCCCAGGTTCAAGCGATTCTCCTGCCTCAGCCTCACAAGTAGCTGGGATTACAGTGCCTCCCACCAGACTCAACTAATTTTTATATTTTTAGAGAATATGGGATTTCATCATGTTGACCAAGCTGGTCTCGAACTCCTGACCTCAGGTGATCTGCCTGTCTCAGCCTCCCAGAGTGGTGGGATTCCAGGTATGAGCCACTGTCCCTGGCCTGGATTGGCTTTTTAAATTTTTTTCTTTCTTTATTTTTGAGACAGGGTCTGGCTGTCTGTCACCCAATCTTTGTAGTGCAGTGGCTGGACGCAGTACACTGGAACCTCCGCCTCCCATGCTGAAGCCATCCTACCTCAGGCTCCTGAGTATCTGGTACTACAGGTGTGCATCACCACGCCCTGCTAATTTTATTTATTTTTTTAGAGATGGGATTTGACCTTGTTGTCCAGGCCGGTCTTGAAACTCCTGAGCTCAAGCAATCTGCCTGCCTTGGCCTCCCAAAGTGCTGGGATTACAAGTATGAGCCATCATGCCCAGCATCAATTGGACTTTAAGCTGAGTATTGGCCTGGCATGGTGGCTCACACCTGTAATTCCAGCACTTTGGGAGGCTGAGGTGGGCAGATCTCCTGAGGTCAAGAGTTCGAGACCTGCTTGGCCAACATGGAGAAACCCTGTCTGTACTAAAAGTACAAAAATTAGCTGGGTGTGGTGGGGCATGCCTGTAATCCCAGCTACTCAGGAGGCTGAGGCACGAGAATTGCTTGAACCCAGGAGACAGAGGTTGCAGTGAGCCGAGATTGCGGCATTGCACTCCAGCCTGGGCGACAAAGCGAGACTCTATCTCAAAAAATAAATTTAAATAAATAAATAAATAAACTCAGAATTTTTTTGTTTTTTGAGATGGAGTCTCATTCTGTCATCGAGGCTGGAGTGCAGTGGCACAATCTCAATTCACTGCAGCCTCTGCCTCCCAGGTTCGAGTGATCCTCCCTCCTCAGTCTCCCAAATAACTGGGATTACAGGCGTGCACTACCAAGCCTGGCTACTTTTTGTATTTTCAGTAGAGACAGTGGGGGAGAGAGTCTCACCATGTTGGCCAGCTTGGTCTCGAACTCCTGACCTTAGGTGATCCACCTGCCTTGGCCTCTCAAAGTACTGGGATTACAGGCATGAGCCGCCACCATGCCTGGCCTTCAGCATAATTTTCTAGAGATCCATTTGGATTATCACATACATTAATAGTGCATTCATTTTTATTACTAAATAGTAGTCATGGTATGGATTATCATAATTTATTCCTCCATCTCACAGCATCTGTATTGTTTCTAGTTTGAGCTTATTAGGAATAAAGATGCTATAAACATTTGTACACAGAGGTTTTTGTCAGAAAATAAGTCTTCATTTCTCCATTTCTCTGGGAAAAAATGCCTAGAAATGCAATTGTTGGGTGTTACTGTAGCTGTCTGTCTAGTTTAGGGTTTTTTTTTTGAGGCAAGGTCTCACTCTGTTGCCTAGACTGGAGTGAAGTAGCGTGATCATAGCATAATGCAAACTTGATCTGGGCTCAAGGGATCCTCCTGCCTCAGCCTCCCAAGGAGCTGAGACTACAGGTGTGTTCCTTCATGCTGAGTTAATATTTATTTTTATTTACTTATTTGTTTATTTTGAGACAGAGTCTTGCTCTGTTGCCCAGGCCTGGAGTGCAATGGCATGATCTTGGCCCACCAAAATCTCCACCTCCTGGATTAAACTGATTCTTTTGCCTCATCTTTCCAAGTAGCTGGGATTACAGGTGTGCGCTACCATGCCTGGCTAATTTTTTTTTTTTTTTTTAAAGAGGGGGTTTCACCATGTTGGTCAGGCTGGTCTTGAACTCCTGAACTCAGGTGATCTGTCCGCCTTGGCCTCCAAAGTGCTTGGATTACAGGCGTGAGCCACCATGCCCAGGCTAATTTTTATATTTTTGATAGAAACAAGGTTTCACCATGTTGGCCAGGCTGGTCTCGAACTCCTGACCTCAGGTGATCCACTCACCTCGGCTTCCCAAGGTGCTGGGATTACAGGCGTGAGCCACTGCACCCGCCCTAAGTCTAAGAATTCTTTACTTAAACCTAGATCCTGAAGATTTTCTTTTTTTTCCCTACAAATTAAATTAAATTAAATTAATTTATTTGAGGCATTGTCTCACTCCTTCACCCAGGCTGGAGTATAGTGGCATGATCTCTGCTCACTGAAGCCTCCGCCCCCTGGGTTCATGCAATTCTGCTGCTTCAGGCACCCAAGTAGCTGGGATTACAGGCACACACCACCATGCCCAGCTGATTTTTGTTTTTTCAGTAGAGACTTGATTTCTCCACGTTGGCCAGGCTGGTCTTCAACTCCTGGCCTCAAGCAATCCACCTGCCTCGACCTCCCAAAATGCTAGGACTATAGGCATTAGCCCCCATGCCTGGCCTATTTTATTTTATTTTTGAGACGGAGTTTCGCTCTTGTTACCCAGGCTGGAGTGCAATGGCACGATCTCGGCTCACCGCAACCTCCGCCTCCCGGGTTCAAGAGATTCTCCTGCCTCAGCCTCCCGAGTAGCTGGGATTACAGGCACACGCCACCATACCTAGCTAATTTTTTGTATTTTTAGTAGAGACGAGGTTTCACCTTGTTGACCAGGATGGTCTCAATCTCTTGACCTCGTGATCCACCTGCCTAGGCCTCCCAAAGTGCTGGGATTACAGGCGTGAGCCA